CAGACTGGTAAGTTGTCTACTAGGGGACCTGGTTGAGGAAAAGGCAACAGTCAACACAGTAAGCCAATATTAATCAGAATCAAGCTGTGGAGATGCACCTAGTCCACACCTTAGGAGAAATGGTCCTCAGAGCTTTCCTTGTGGCTGAGAACCATCTGCAGGCTAGTAGTAAGCATGTCCTAGCAAAGACTGCCATCACATGATGAAGTGAAATATGGTAAATTCACTTTACTGGAGTGAACCAGCGCTCAAATTCTGTGCCAACTTGTCCAGGACTAGAGGCAGGACTGTCTGAGTAGTTGCACATAAAGAGAGAGAATAAGCACTAATCTGCTACAGTGGGGAAGGATCTGGAGGGTTGGCATAGATTGGTCTTCCTAGTCACAGGACAAAAACACGCAGAGCTCTGTCCTTAAGTAAATATTTTCAAGTCCCTGTGACCCAAAATGGAGGTTTGACATTCTTCAATGTAGTAGTGACAGAGAACTACCTAGCAAATAGTTTACCAGGCTTGTTGCTCCTTGGTCAATAGGAGATGAACAGACTACTGAGCTACAGCATCTCATTTTTCTTATAGAGCTATGGAGCACAGGCTCCCCAGCCAAGACATGAGTCGCACTGAACCAGGTATTACACAGCTAAACAGAAGCTTGTGGCTCTGATTTCACAGTGGCAACCACAGTAGAACACAGTCCTCAGCTAGCTTCAGGACTACAATAGTTTACCTTGTAACAATTTCTCCAGAAGTGAGGCCATATACTGCAGGGTGATGAACTTACTTATATTTCTTTCAGATAGCTGGTGGTAGTAGCCACTGGGGCGGGGGTGGGGGATCACTAAGCAATAGTTAAGGCTATGTTCTTAGATCTTACAGCTAACCTGTAACTGCAACTGATCTCTAACTACATCTCACAAAACTGAATGAGCGTGAACATGATTTAAAAAATAAAATAAATTCTTTTAAAATTATTTGCAGCGCTGATTCATGTTCAAATTTCACTATGGACATCAGGGGGAGATTGTTTTTAAAGGACTACATGCAGCTACTTGGTAGGGCTTCCTCACTATTAAAGAAACCATTGCAACCTTTTCAACCATGACAAGGCAGCCTTCTTAATTAATAATGAGTTAGCGGTTACGATAATGTAAGAAGCAGATCTCCCTGATATTTTGACAGACCCTAACCTAGCTACATGGATAGATTATACAGGATTAAAGCAAAGAGAAGGCCAAGTTGGTAAATATTTCCCTTGGCTGCATATCAGTTCATTTTTGTAGCCCTTGTCTGAAGGCTGCAAATTTAGGTGGAAGAGTAGAGGTTACAGTTGCAGTGTGTAGCCAAGTACAACTGAGGCCAAACAGCGAAGACATTTTAAATGACCCATTTCAGGGTTTTTATCTGCTGAGTCTGCCGGTCAAGAAATTAATTAGTTCCAGCTGTAGCAATTTACTTTCATGCATATATATTCACCCACTGGGACTAAGCTGAAAGCACATACATCCATTTAATTTAAGCCACTACACCTAAAGGATAACAGAAAGCCTTACAACCAAACATTTAAGAAAAATCCCTGAATCTACATAGTTTGCTAATAAGACACAGACATAAATAAGATCTAAACAAAGAGAACACCTTGCAATAACGCTTAGAAGATAAGCAATACTTGGAAAGTAACGTTCTATATCTGAGTTTTGATGGCAGCAATTTTCTTACAAAGGCTAAATCAAGTTTTAGATTTCCAGAAATAAAGAAAACTGACAGAACTCATTGGAAATTTACATTCAATTATCTTTTTTATAGCTTCTTATGCATTAGCAAGGTCTGAAATTTGTACACATTTAAAAGCCTGACCTCATGAACTGACTTCATATTACTTTGATACTAAAGGGCAATAAAAGTGGTGAGAAGGTTAATAATAAAAATTTGTTCAAATACATCAAATTCAAGCTGGAAGCCTGCTAAAGAGTAGGTGAGGTTAACAGAATCTATCATGTCTCTATACAGGAAACTGATGGCGAACATGTTTTTTTAATTTTGCATGCAACTTTGATCTTCCCACCTCATAAAAGGCCTAATGCAACTAGAAAAGATACTGAGAAGGGCAACAGGGATGACCTAGAGACGTTTTACACTTTTCAGGGCTTCAACTCAGAGAAAGACTAAGAGGATATGCAGTACATACCCGTGAAATCATTAATGTGCAAAGAAAGCACTAGGGAATAATTATTTGCCGTTTCTCACAATACAAGAACTTGAAGGCATGCGATAATATTTATTCAGGTAGCAGGTTCAAAATACATAAATGAAAATACTTTTCACAGAATGCATAAGCAAACCGTGGAATGCACTGCAACAGTATCTTGTGAGGGCTAACGATATAAATTAACGTTTAGTCAGTAACTCAAATTCACAAAGTGCAGGTCTGTCTGTGGTTTTGAAACGCAGTGTTTCAGATGCATCTTCTGGCTCATGAAGCATCTAAACATAAAAGCTGAAAGCTGGGCACGTAGCAGGCAAGGATTGCTCTATATATTCACTGTTCTTGAACTCTTTCCTAAGCATCTATTACTGGCTATCAGAAATGAGATGGGGTAGGTGGAAGTTAGTCTGATCTAGTATGACAGTTCTGATGATCAGATGAATAATTTCTCCTATTTTCTTTTTTTCTCTTAATCATTCTGTCTCATTTTGCTACAGAACATACAGAAACTGCGTTAAAAATACTTTACAGTAACAGATATATTGTCCATACGAATAAACAGTTCATGCATCTCAAAAGCAGTTCTGGTTCCGTGTGGAGCCCTACCGGACAATTATACACCTTTCATTCCTCTGTTCCTTAATCTTTACAACAACGAAGAATGAACTTACCCAAATTCATTGACCATACAAACTCCATTATTGAATCAAAATGATTTGGAATGTTCTCAAATTGAAAATTACTTAAACAAGACTTGCACAGAAGAAGAACAAAAACTTATTTTAATATCTTATGGTAAGGGAAAAGGTTCAGGGCTAATGTGAAATCGCTGATGTGCCTGATGAAAGCAGTATTTTTCATATAAGAAGAAGGGGGTAAGAAAGTTAGCTGAGGGCGTTCACCAAGCAGTGGATGCTGAACATCTAAGACAGTTGCAAACTCTGAATCCTGTTCTTGTTCGCCATATCCAACAACCTGGAAATTCAAAGGCCAGAAAAGCAATAAGAAGTGGATGGTAAAAAATCCAAACTAAGCTTTACACATGTTTCATAAGTCAATTTAGCAAAACATTATGAGTTGGATTCATTAGGACTCAAAATTCTAAATGAGTAGTCTAGGCTCCCTTTCTAGTCAACGGACGGTATTTTCAGGTAGTGCTTCATCCTCCCTGTCTGAAAATGGAAGCAGTCACCTCCAGAGGGGTCTCTCTCCACTCGTGGCAGAAGCAGCTTAACTGTACGTCTAACATCTAGATGGCTCGAGCTGATAAGATTATTCCCACTCCTGAAAATTACAGGGATAAAACCCACTACAGAATTTCACGTATTTTCTGCAACTTTCAGAGTTCTTAAGTTATGGTTTTAAGTAGCAGTGGGAGTTCAGAGACTGACATCCAGTGCAAATAATATTTTTAATCCCATCATTCAACTGCTACATTTCAGAATTTTAAAGTTTTGGACATTTTTTCATAGGATTCCACCTTAAAAATGCTTAAGTCACAGGACATGGGTAAGAAGAAAAGAAGAGGTCTTGGAATTTAATTAAGAAAGTCACATTATTAATTCATTTTAGGAAAGATATAAAGGAAAATATTCTAACATTGTACTGATTACAGATTTACTTACATGTATACTGAGTATTTTTCTATCATTTCCTCTGAGAGTTTGGAACCATTCAACCAGGTCTGCTTTGGTAAATGATTTTAATGCTTCAATCTAAATCCACAAAAGTACATTTTATGAGTCCCAAATACTGCACTGGTATTTTAAAAGCTATCTGATTGCTAACATTAAGGACCACTTGAAATATCTTTATAAGCCTTATGTTTTCAAATTTATGAACTCGAGCACCAAATATGAGCCTAATAGCTAAACAGCAAGCTCTGACAGCAGCAGTCTCTGATTTAGCCAGTGCTTGGCAAGTGGAAATAAATTGAATTTTCCCAAGTTTTGTGAAATAGATCTGAATTTTAATCCCTATTCACTTGGAAAAGTAGTGGACAATGCCTTCAAAACCTGAAAGACTCACTCAAAAGATTAGTTTCGATGTTTATTCTTCATAACACATGGGTAATCATTTTGATTTGCGTTTCAGCCATTTGTTGAAATAATATTCTGCCTTCTATTCAAAAAGAGTATTTATTAGGAAAACATAACGGCCCCTCTGAAGCCAAGAAGAAGTTATCTCCAGTTTTAACTGATCTGAATTTCATTGTGTATTTTAAATATAAAGGGCTAGTAAGATGCAAGAATGCGACTGAGTTAATTCCAAATTAAATTCATTACCTCGCAGGCAAGCCTGTCAAAAAGATACTGCTGACTCATCACTTCATTCCAATTTCTATCTACTTCTTCACCAAGAAAAGAATCTTCACATTCTTTAATATTGATCAGAGCATCGACCTGTAAAAATATACTTTTATTAATACTCTTACAGGAAGCCAAGAATCCTGGAAAAGAAGTATGATTAGAATTCAACTAACTTAGGCTGCTGGTCAAATGTATTAAAATCAATCAGTAGTAATGTTTACTGCAATGACTGGTATCTGTAGCTAGGGCAACTGTCTTAAGTTCTGATTCACCAACATCTCGTGAGACACCCGAGCGCGCTGAACATACCCCTGAACCCAATACTGCCTTGCACTGTAGGAAATACAGCATTAAAATCCATAAAAGAAAAATCTAAGTATCCTCTGCTCAGTTATGAGGCAAGTCCCAAAAAACGTCCTTCTGTTCTCCATCCAAAGTCACAAAACAAAAGTAGGAACAGATACAGTATCACTTTTCTTTCTTCCTCTCCAAGCAGGCTGCCTGCTATGTTTTTCAATAAATCAAAAAGGAACACAGTTATTCCTTGGAGGTGTCCTAGGTTGCTTCTTTCCGATTACCTGAGCATGGAATGCATCTTCAGTTAAAAGCTTCATTTTTTCCTCAAAGTGCAAAAGAAATTCTTCTATTTTCTTGTCAACAAATTCAGAACTGAAAGATGACAAAAGGAAGAAAAGAAACTAGAGATAACGCATTTACCTTTCAGATTCAAAACTCTCCTATATCAGACCTGGGGTCTTCTGCGTTCTTTCAGTTAGGAGAGGGAAAATCCTCACAGGTCTAAGCCTCATTCAGGTGACACCTGACCAAAAATCTTTATCTCTAAACTACTGTTAAGACCGCACCACCACTTCTATGTCTGTGCCTGGCTTTCCTATTCCTCTCAGTTGTCTTCTGTGGTTCTTTTGAAGCTCTTTCTCCAATGAATACGTGATCATGATCTCTTGCTTAAAGGCAATACCCAGTAAAGCCACTTTGTCCACACGGTATTTTTAATCATATCACTGTGAGCTGAATGAGAAAGATTTTGAAGCTGGCATGTTTAATTTCTGCCCTTCCTTTAAGACTGTTGTGTGAAACTGCAAAAAGTCTCCTATGAAACATAGCAGTCTTCAAAGCGAACAGTGGTATCATTACCCAAAAAGGCACATGCACAGTCACTTAGGCATTAACAGTGCTAACAAATAAACAGTTTGAAAAAAATCAATAGCTTAATAATTTCAAAATAGATGCTTTGGGAGGTTGTGTTGTTCACACATGCCTGGTCTTTAATTGTCAATTAAGTAGACTCTTAACAAACTGCAAAGAGGAACAGCAAAAATTTTAAGGGTAATGGACTTGAGAAAAAAAAGAGCACCTGCTATCCAAAAGGAATAAAAAGGAAAGACGCTAACGATCTGTGTAATATTAACATCATAAAACATGGAGTATACGCAGCAGAGATTTTCAAGAACTGTGTAAAATTATTTTCACTTCTAAAACTCACAGATAAACACGAGTTTCCAAGAGCTGTACCATAAATAGCTGTAACTGTAAATACAAGCATTATAAGAATAAGAAATCTTTGGAATCTGGAATACCAGTCCAGGTATGTGCGGGTCTGCACATACTGTCTCTGAACCTCAGAATCCCCAGCTGGAAACCCTTGAAGCCAAAACATTCTTAAATTAGTAAGACTTACTTATTCTTGGTTGCTTGTGTTGTTACAGTAATGGAGAATCCAATGATCCCAGAATTATTTCTGCAGGCAGGATACACATGGTAGCTTAAATGAAAGAGAGGGGAAAAAAAAGGCCATAAGCACAAATCCCTTTATATCCATAATCCACAACAACCAAATAAGAGCATTACCAGCACTTAGACCTGAAGTTTCAGTAAGGATGCCATTATCAAAGACTCCTGACGAGCTAACTTAAAGAAAAATTCCAATACTAACAGGCATGACCTTTTCTAAGTCCAACTAGTCTCCTTTGCAGCTTTGTTATACATTTGATAAACAGACCTAGATAATTATTTCTGAGAATTCCTGTAAATTAAATATAAGAAATTACAAAATAGACCACAAAGGGTTCATGCTGAGTTCTCACCAATCCAGCTGAAACTGTGTTTTTAGGCACCTGCAGCCACCAAATACCATAGTTGAAGCCATGGCATATTCCCTGCTGGTTAAAATGGACAGTCTGACTGGGGCTCTCACATTCCTACCTCTGATTTAGAGACCAAGACTATTGAAAAATATCTAACCTCTCAGTGAAAGCTAAGCTAGTTTATTATTTGTGGACATCTCAGCTGACACTTCCCATCCCACAGGTTACAGTCTGAGAAAAACATGACATTTCCTTGACAGCACTTAACATTTCCCTCTACAGGTCTGAGGGCCACAGGGATGAACACAGAAATGGACACATGCATATGAGATCACTGAGGCTGCCAACTTCTTGAGGAATGACACTTAAGGAACCCAGGAGATTTACCAGGTGTGGAGGAGGAAGCACAGGCAGAAAACAGCTTCATGTTTCTCTTGAAGAAATGCAACCTTTAACTGCTACGTCTGCCTTTCAGAACTTACTCTGATAATGTCTGTACCTGATCAACTCTCAAACATTAGAGATGCCTCAATAGACTGTCATTTACAAGCACTGGTCACTTCTGCAGAAGAGGCCAAACCTCAAATACTTTAGCCATTTTGAGGCCAATTAATATGAGCTTCACCCCAATGCAGTGAAGCATGAGACCTATACATGAGAAATCCAATCTAAATTTTCTTTTTTTCTGGGGGCGGGGGGAGGATGGGGAGGGGACAGAGGGGTCTTTTTAAGTTCATTAAGAACTATCAGTATGGACTCTGATCAAGAAAACTACCTCATCTGTTGCAGACTAAGAGACAAAAACACAAGTCTTTGTCTCACAGTCCAAAAAGACAGTTAAGGATGTTCCTTTGCCTTAGCTACCACTGTCTATCCAGGATATAGCAACAAATGAACACTGGTATCTTCAGTGTCACAGTTTATATGGACATCCCCAATATATATAGATTGCTTTCTTCAGGGACATTATCAGTTTATAGAAGCTTTGCTTATCTAACTGCAATATAGAAGCTACCAAAGCAACTAAATTAGATGAAGAAGAGTATTCAAAATTTGAACACTGGCCTAGATTCAGACTGTACATAACGCCAATAAACACAGATAGGAAAAGACCCCAGGCTCCACTTCTGTACAACCAAAGGTAAGGAACAGACCCATCTGTGGACCTAGATAAATTAACTGAGTAGCTGTAACAGAAGTATCCAGTGATGAGGCTGGGTTTGTTTGTAGTGTATTACTTTGTACTTTCAGATACACTATTCCAATAATTAGACACAGGAACAGTTTCCCATAGCAACAAAGTATATGGGACTAATTGTTGAGGAAAAAAAAAAAACAGATTAAAGGAGCTATATATACCTCCTGACAAAGAGCTTACCCAAGTGTTTCTTTGGTTCGCAGGAAACTGAAACAAGGCTCTTCCATATGGGTCTGAAATATAGCCTGAATTTAGTCAAAATGTACTCCTGTGTTCAACAGTAGATATTTTATCATACCCACACTGCTTCATACCCAATAGATAAGCACGGTCAAATCAAGGAAGAAGGGACTAAAACAACTAAACTCAAATCCTCCTGTTCTCACTGTGCTAGAAAGAAACTAAAACAGGGAAAATCTATGTCCTGCAATAGTGTAAGACAGGAGATTAATCTTCACAAGAACTTATATTTCACAATGAAATTTTTAATTTATTAGTTCTTAAGTGAAACAGCACATTATTTGAAGTACCATGCTCAGACAGTCCCAACTACTTATACCAGGAAAGTGCTAGTAGGATGTGACAAACACACATGTCTTTAGAGTTATGATCTTGTCTTAATACTAATCACTATTTTTCCAAGCACCAGACGTTGCATGGAATATAAATGCTGCCTATACAAGTGCCAGTAAGCATTCAAGATTTGTTAGGAAAGGTCAGACTTACCACAAGCAACTCCATAAGAACACATTCTCTTAAATTCCTTGCCCCAGCCTAGAACAAACAAACAAACAAAGCCAGATTGGATGGTCTTCAGCATTAACTGCTCAGTAAGTTATCACAAAAAATGAAAAGTCAATGATTTCTGGTTTTCCATTGTGCCTCCAAAGCAGACAGCAAACAATTTCATTTCAGATCCACTGCATGAGTGGAAAGACTATCTTGAATTAACTGCGGGAAAAATAAAGCATCAACGGCAAGAAAGACAAGAAAGGTGACGATATCAAGACTGGAGTGGGTGACATATGGAAAAGTAGGAGATACATATTCACAATAATTGTGTATAAAATAATATAGGCTGCAACTTCATCATGGATTTTAGTAGGTCTCAAAATAAGTAGCTCTTGTGCACCGGGAGTTTGCTTACAGAATCACTATAATTCAGTCCACTTTCCCTGCAGAGTGATCACACAGACAGGTTCTGCTTTTTGGTGGCTCTGTGTTGATACTCTTCAAATTGTGACTGCACCGCAAACCACTAACATAAATGATTATGTGCAAATTATGATTATGTGCAAATCTCTAGTGCATTACCTGATAATAAACTGTCACTTCAGAGTTGGCATCATTTTTGTTAAGAGTTTTCACCTTACAGAGCATGTGCGCATTTGGCAAATCCACCACCCGGAACTGAACAGGGCAGGAATGGGCCAGAGGAGCAAACTGGAGCTTTCTGAAGGGAATACAAACAGCAGAGCGTCAAACACACACTCACGTCTTAGGCAAAAAACACAGAACGAGGCATCACAATCCAGATGCCGTCAACTCAGCATCATTCCCCTCCCCTTAAAACCACTTCCTATTTAATGAGCAGAAAGACAGAGAGGCTCTCTATATTATCATGATAATATAATTAAATGTCTTCAAGGAATTTCAATTGTGCTTTCAGTATTCTTCCCACCCTAGCCAACTCCTCCCCTCCAGAAAAGAATAACTGAAGCGGAATTGTACAGGAATCAAACAGATACTCACTCCACAACATAACTCATAAAATCCTTTGCTTCCTAGGAGAGAAAGTATAAACTTAGTTTAACTTTGGAGAAGGGAATTATTTGTTCCAATGCATTCTGCAGCATTCAGAAAGAAACTGATTGCCTGGCTTTGCCATGATATTCCAGTACTCTGCCAGTGATTTGTCAAGTTCCAAGTCTCTCAAAGGTGACAAGAGGGTCTGCTTTATTCTATATTGCAGAAGGAAAAAAACTCACCAATATAATTTCTTGCTTGGAAGTCTGTAGACTCTCTAAAGAAGCAAGAAAAGAACCCATGAAAGATTCAGCATAATACACTTCAAGCAGATAGCACATCAGATACAAGAAACTGAGAGGAGTACCCTGTCTTGCATGTGATGCTGAAATGCTTGGAAAGAAACTCCAGCTCCAGCTGAGGGAAAGCCAGCAAATAAGAGAACAACAGAACAGTGCAAGGAGGCAGGTAACTACATGGTAAGTATAATGCTGCATTCCCACAAAGAAATCTTAACTCTGTGATAGTTTATGCCCAAATCTTCAGCTTAACTTTCAAGCCAGGATCCCAAGAGAACACCTCTGAAATTACCAGAGCCTCTAGTTCTAACAAAATACTTCGGCAAAAGTTTCTACAAGACTGCTTTCTTGTTGTAAAAACAGTCAACTTGTATGTCTAGTGAGAAATAGAGGGAGCACTGTACAAGTGTATCTGGGGCTAAACCTTGGTATGACCAGGTTTTTAAAAGCTAAAATGCCTGGTCTACATCAGAGTGCTAGCTAACACTTTGGCTTCTAGACAGACAGATGAATTGTGAGAATGATAACACGATCTTAAGGTGTATTACTGCAGTCAATCCTATCACTTGGCTGTATATACACTACAAATTTAGCAAGAAAACCAATTCCAACTGTGCATTCTAACAGCTGCACAGTTAGAATGATCCCACTAGAAATACAGACTAGCAGAGTATACAGAGAACAACTTCTGATTCTTAAATACACCACAGAAACCATATTTGAAGCATAAAACAACTACTCATTGTGTTTGCACGATACAGGGGTAAAATAGCAAAGTATTCTCAACTGCGTTGGCACTCTCATGTCACCCGGATCTGCCAAAACACTAGTGGAAAATAAGGCTGTCAAAACGGTTAGTAGTAGTTTTTAAAACATAGCTATTCTACTAAAAACAAGACAGAGCCCAAACTTTCACTACTGAGCTTAATACTTACTTGGCATGTTACATTTCCTTGTGCTAAACCCTCCACAAATAGCTGTGACTTGAAAGCCTTAATAAAGGACAATAAAGACTCTGCAGAAAGTCCCTTCATTAATCTCCTGTATTTGTCTATCACAGACCACTTGCCATGCTCCAAAATTACATGATGTAGGTCCCTAGAAAACAAAACAAAACAAACAAAAAAACATTTTAATTCAGAAATGCATTTCACAACTGTAGCAAGCAGAGAGTAGACCACAACGTCTTGGAAGGTTTCACTGCAATGAAAAACAAATTGGTAAGAAAATCAGTCAGTGTTACTGCAGAAGTATTTCACACCAAAGAGCCAACCATTCAGAAAGAAAAACAGCACATGCCGCTGAGAAACTGGACTGAGCAAAAGTGATCTGACAAAATGCAACCACCATACATCCTCCAATATGCTGCATTTCCAGAGATGACATTTCGCACGGGATTGCCTTTTTGCTGGAGTTGGTTTGGCAATATACAACTGAACTTTTAATGCACAGGTCCTCTCTTTCCTGAGGGACCTATGCATTGTTTGCACTACTTATACAGCAGCCTATAATCCTAAATACTGGAGTACAGCAGAATGACACCCAGTTCTTGTCATTGATGCATTACACTGCTGTGCATTTCTTCATCAAAAAAATGCAGAATCAGAAGCTTTTTTAATCTGCAGGTATACAGATGCCTTTTAATGTCAGTTAGCAAACTCAAGGTAAAATCCTAATGAAGATAACATTATTTGTTGTGTCAATAGCTGTTAGTGATATGAAGGCTAAGAAATACCCTAAGCTTTGATCTAATGTCTCCATTTCAGGATGCACTCTTCCTTCCTAGCAAGAACAAAGCCACAGAGAAGTAACCTCTAGTGACTACTACAGGTCAGGAGGCTACAGCCTTGTATAATTTTGATTAACATTTTCTCTTTTAAGAAATTCATCACACAGTGCTATCAGAATATTTATGTCATCAGATACAAGGAAAGGATCAAGTAAGATGTCAGGTTATATTCATACGGTACAAAATACTGCCTTTTCTCATGACTTTCATTAATGTAGTTTTTTGAAGAAGATTCTAGGTATCTTTTGCACTTTTGGGCTACAAAGAAGCTCTGACTCCAGTAAAGATCAGGCAGATTTCTGGATCAAGCAGAAACTTCGCTGGTTGACACTGACCTTATGCAATGCCAGTTTTGTCAGCTTATCAACTTATCTGTACATCTGCAGCATCAGGCTTCGAGTATCTCCTCTTCTCTCTTTCACCATATTTTTAAAAAGAAAGAGCAATGAACAAAAGCTGTCTAAATAATAATCAAAGTATAAATAAAGTTTCTTCCAGGGAGAACGAGGGGGACTGATAAGGAAAGAGAATGCAACGTGTGCGATCTGAGCCCGGTGGCAAATAGAAGGAACCAAAGGGCAGCTGCGCTGGGATGCTGGAAGAGGAATGACCCCAGCTGACAATTTTTCAGATTTGACAATTTTCTAAGGAGAAGTTTTAACCTTACAGTGGGTACACGCAGAGGTTACTGACAGAAGAAATGCAAGCAACTATAAAGAAAAATATATACAATAACCATCTTTATATAGGAATTCATGTTAACTTTTGGAACTTGATCATTAATATTGGGTACTTAGTATAAAGCAAAAATATTTGCCAATATGAAAATTGGACTCACATACAGTTATTGTGCTGGCATCTACTACATTCAACAAGATTATGCAAAGCACTGTATGTTAATTTATGATAAAAAGATAAGCAACTCCTCAAGCTGCTACAGTATGCTACTATGACAACACAGGATAAACAAAGATGACTGCTTTCTTTTCTACCACCACCCTAAAATTAAGCCTTTCCCACAGAGACTCACTTGGCTAACACGTCTGGTTTGATGAGCATATTGAAATAGGTCTTTTTTAGTTCCTCTTTAACCATCTCAAAAACCTCTGGAGTAAAACTGAAGTTAGACACATGGTCAATGATGAGCTGAAACAGTAGCTGTAAAGAAAACACTATTTTCTTAGTCATTTGTACCATGAAGAGGAGAATGACTTGGTTCTTTTCAAATCAACAAAACATGAGACAAAAAAGAGCTTCCCAAAAAACCACTGTTTAAACCTGTTACACTTTCTCCTGGCAACTAATCAATTATATATAAAATACAGTAAGATCTTTAATAAATAAATTAATTGTTTAAAAATAAATGATCAGTTACCAGGGCATATCACAGTCACTGCACATCAATCAGATAAAAATGTTGTTAAAACCATATGAAGCTTTCTAGGTAGAGAACTTAAAATTAGATGGCTCTCTTTCAATACAAAATACATTAAGAATTTAAACTTATAATAATCAGTAAATCACAATGAAAATTATTTACTTGAAAACAAAGTCCACAAAGAAGGAAACAGTCTAAGTATACTGATGGGATGAATCTGGACAGGAAAGTATTCTCTTATATCATCCTGCAGAGTATGCAAATAGCTTGCTCACCTCTAGTCTCAAAAAAAGATATCATAGAAGGGATGAAAATTCATTCTACTCCTTTCATCTCTGCCTCATAGTCAAAATGTATGCAGGACTCCAGAGAAAACAGAAAAGTATACCCAATTTCAGAATATATAGGTATTCCTTGAGTTTTTTCTTGTTCTAGATTATTCGTTTTCTTTGGCTTCAAATTAAATTCTGCTCCAAGAGTTCCCAATAATCTCTTCCTTGTAACTGAACAATTGGGTGTAATAACCTCTCTTACTATTTAGCTCTCCTCCCAAAGGCCATCCCTGTGATGACTGAAAAGCTTCTGAAAGCCAGCTATGACAATTTGAGAACTGAGATTAAAATTCCATCTTGGCACTGAGACTAATAACTTTAGTAACACAAGTTCATCGTGGGTCCAGAAGTTCACAGTTAACAGAAGGCTCTTGGCCTTTAGCTGAGATTCCTTAGAAGTGTTAGCATTTAGCAGCTAAGTCCCCTTGCTAACACAAACTTACCTGTATTGCATATATATCTCTATTTTACTCACCTAACAAGAAACCATTATCAGCGGTCATACTTGTAACTGCTCTTTTCACATAACCAGCTGGTGGAGATCAGTCTGTGTCAAAGACACTTTGTGTAGACAGGGGAGGTCAAATAGTCAAAAAAGAAGCACCTGTGGCAGTTACTGTCTATCTCATAACATGGAACACAAAAGCTATTAGGAAAGCACTTTTTAACAACAGCTGTATTACGTGGAAACAGGCAGGAGCAAACACTAACTTGTCCCAGCTTGCTGCTGTGTGCCTCATTATTCCTCCCCAGCTTTCTCCCCCTTGCACCTTCAAACAATATGTTCTGCACACATACCTGCCCTTGTTATCTGTCTTGGCCCTGGCTCTTAGACCACTTCCATTAGAGGAAGCCATGGGAAGCTTACACGTAATAAGCAGAAGTTAAAATCAGATTTATACTGAGAAGAGTTGCATTATAAATTTAACATCAGATTTTAGTATTTTTAAACAGTTTAATTTGATTTTCTCTCTTACTGCATGCAAAAAACACTGACTTGGTCAAAGATCAGTTCCTTTGCACTTAACCTTCTTTACTCCATACTCATTCTTGTTGTAATTCGTAAGTC